CCTCAGGAAAATCCCCTCGAAAAAAGATACCAAAAATGACAACATACCTGTATATTCATTCGACGGGAGGAAAAACCAAGGTCCCGTGTACACATTGGCGTACACTTAAAAAAAACCTTGACAGAATTCGAAAAGAGATTAGACCGTAGTACCACTGTCTGGACAATATTTTCCTCATAGCACACTAAATGGTGTATGCCCGTCTTCATTAATCCAGTCGGAGTAGGACAGTGGGACACGTTAAACCCCATTTCATTTCATTTTTTGTATTATGTCGTGATGGATTACGAACACATTGGTCATCCATGTAGAGACAAAGATTATAAAAAAGCAAATACTAAAGTACCTATAATAAAGGGACCTAATAAGCCACGTGAAGTTTTCAGACGAATACAGAATAGACAGTTTGTCTTTATAACCGGTGAAATTGAACATACCCATTACATACATTATATTTACTTTATGACATGTGGAGTGTATTTCAAAATACCATAGACAATATGATAAAATATTTTAATAGTTCTTTTTTAAGTTAAAATTTTTAAAAAGCAGCAATCTGTTTAATTTTTCCTTTTCAAAAAACCTCGCAAGAAACAATTTGACCTACATGAAATCTCAAAACATCTGAAAAGCATCTTTATGTTGTCGAATAACAAAACAAATTCTCCCCTCTCCTGTCAATCATTTCTCACGTGCTGGATTCAGACAGACATAAGGAAAATGGCGGCCAAGTAATCCACTTCCGTCTAGAAGACCAATTTAAGTTGTTTAGCTAAACGCTAATTGAGAGTACTCATAGAAACTATAAAACGAAAACTGAAATTCAATAAATGCAAATGGGGAGAAAATGTTCCTTTTAAGTTGTTTAAATGTCTAAACACCTTGATCATTACCAATATTCAGAAACGTCTTTAAACATCAATATCGGAAATGACTTTTTGGTCTTATCTTTCTTTCTTGGAATCAATAGCATGCGAATATTTTCATGCCAAAAGAAGTGATCCAGACTTCTCACAGGGTAAAAGAGAACATGAACAATGCCAAAATATCCTCAAAGAAACGAAATTGCCAAATCAACGATTTTGCTTTACATTTTAAAGGAGATTTTTGATCTTTTATTTAAGAATTCTTAATGCTGAAATATTTAGGGCAGTTTGAGTCCGTCAGGGTTATATTTCTGTGGAATAATTTAAAAGGCATCAGAAAAAAATGATAAAAAAGCAGCATTGAAATCTATCAAAAACAATAAACTTGATAAGGAAAAGGAATAAATTGTTTTTGAAATCTAAACATATTTTAAAAAACATTTAAAAAAAAAATATGCAATGAATATAATATATATATATATATACTTATGCCTCCGATAACAAACAAACATAAACTACGAAAACTAAAACCTATTTGATCGAATCATATATAGTCTGTGTTTTTTAATCCATAAATCCATCAACTAAATTAAAGAAATTTAGTAAGTGAAAAGAATAAAAAAAATCATGAAAATTATTTTAATTTGGGAAATTCCCTACTTCGTGACAGATCTCTAAAAACATTATTGTCATCTCTACGGCTGTTTTGAATCGGTGTTTGTTTTGTGGCTTGCTTCGTTAAAGATTTATGAAACAAATATTTTACTAGCTGGTATGGAAATTTAGAGCATTTTATTATTGTCATCTATGGGTAAACTAAAATGAGTGTTTAAGGTTTGCGGGTAATCGTATAATATTAACCCCCTTATAATTATGAGTGAAACCCAGCGATTAAAATTTAATATTATCACACAAAGAATGGATATTAGCAACAGCAACAACACGGTGACATTCATATAATATACGCTGTGTAAGCTATAGCATGAGAAAACTACATAAAGTAGATTTGTGTCGGCACGTTTCTGAATAAAATGAAGTTAAAGGACAGAAAACCTCAACATAAAATAAAGTTAAAGGACAGAAATTATTCATATACAAATCAAATTATTGTGATATAATAAAATAAATTCATAATATTATGCCGACATACTTTATTTGTATTTAAAGCGATTTTGTTGGAATTTTTTATTTCAAGGCGGGTGTGTTCTTTAATCACAAAACTAAATAAATTAATAAATATTTGGAATTTTGTGAAAACTGAATTTGGATTGTTCTGAATAATTGTTTTGAAAATAAAAATAAAGCACAAACTTCGCAAAATGGTATCAAAAATAAACTATAAGTTTTACTGCTGGTTGTGGAAATATTTCTTTGGTCGTTATTGAAGTTCTTTTATTAAGCATTTTGTAACATAGTAAAGACGCACTCTATTTGTTAAAATGTAAATATTTCCAAATAACATTTGAATTTTTTATTGTACTTTTCTATCTCTTATTAAATGCACCATACTCTATTGTTTAACATTCTGCACCACTTTGAAAATTATAAAGTTAAATTATTACCATATCGTAGGTCAATGGTTACTAGAATTTGTCAGGTTTACCGACACACCCCTCTTTGAAATCAAAGATGAATGGGCTTCGGTGAAACATAAGGTTGTTACTCGGTCTTTTGAGAGTTAGCGTCTGAGTTACACTAATTGATTGACAAATGGTTGTGAATATGTTAAATAATCGAAAAGTATATATATATATATGTCTTGTTATCAAAAGTACATTAAGCTATATTTAGATACAGTTGACCTGTCAATCAAAGTAGAAGTGGATTTCATTGTTGAATATAATTATCATTTCAATGTTTATTTTTCAACAACATTTAATATAATCTCTGTTGGAATATCACGGGAGCTGATAAAGTATTATATTTACAAAATTAAAGATACAGTTTCTCAGCCATGAGACCTATCCAAATGAGAAACACTTTTGCTATTGACAAATTCATTTACCGAGTTTAAATGATTTGCTGTGTTTGAGCACATACAGTGTGATTTTATATTTTGACACATTATTGTTATTTAGCACCTGGCTGTGACGGGAAATGTGATCTTAGTATTTTGCTTCCGATCCAAAATAAAGATTGGTTACTTTGAATGAAAAATTCAGCATCAATGCCATGATCTATTTACGCATCCACATTGACTTCTGAAAATATCCAACTCGGCGGCTGGCTACTTTGAAACTACAATCACATTCTGTTGCCTGTAATATTACCAATCGCAACCTTCAGCAACTTTTCCAATGGGCTTCTTTGCTTAGAAAGACAAAAGGGCTTGACAGGAATAAGACGCAAATAAGTACAAGTCCATAATGACCCCACAGATGATAAGTAAGGTAAACTTTTTAACTCCCCTGATAATGATATCTTCTAAAACAATAGCGGCTATAAGATAAACCGGTGGGCCTAATATACACCCCTGGATAATTCCCCGAGCAACGCGACCCAAACTCAGTTATTAAGATAAAGATAGAAAAAAAACCTCTTTAAATTCAGATATCAAAATTTATTTAACACATATTATGATGATAAAAGATTTTAAACAAATTGACTGTCGACATACATAAAATGACAAACAATTGTAAATTACAATGCTTTCTTAAATACGCTTATTGACAAAATGTAAATATTAACATTATGATATACATTGTATATTTATAAACACATTTAGTCCCCTGATTTTTCACACACTTGTACACTATATGTATATTATATATATTCATTTAAATTATGATACATCTTTAGGGGGACCATAGCGGAGGAATAATTTATACATTTACATAAACAAGAACTGCCTTATAACTGATGTTGGAAAATGAATTAGTCATGCCGATATAGTTAAATCTAAAATTTTGAGACTGAAATATTGTAATTTTCAATGATTACGGTAAATGGTAAAAATGTATGATTTATAAACTGGGCTTTGGCATCCACCATTTTGTAAAGCTCAAAATAAAGGTGAGAATTTAAGACAGATTATCTTCACAGTAGCTGTCCCCATTTAAACTGGGGGAGAGATAAAACTGGTTTATCCTAGGCTACTGTTCAAATGACCAAGAATGTGTCTGGCATGTTTTTGCTTTAGAAATCCATTAATTGTCTAACTTGTCAGAATACTAACGAACAAGTATATTGATAAGAACATAATTACAATACTGCTAAAATCTAATTCTAGTATTTTAAATGTCATCTCTGAAAAATGATATAAAATTTATAGGAATGCACACAAGTTTGGGAATTATTTTGAACGGAATGAAATCAAATAAAAAGCATTAACATGCTCATCAACAAAGAAGTCTAAAAACCACAACACAGATAATACAGGGAACGTTAAGGAACTTCGAAAGATCCAAGACTTATTACGAGGAATGATAAAATTATGAAAAAATTATTCACGTTACGATGCTTATTGGTGTTTGGTATATCAATTTTTACAACCGACAACTACCGAAGAGTTCATAAGAGGTCGTAAATTTGTCTGAGGGTGTTATATATATGCCACCTGAAACTGTCGCGAAGTTTATAACCACTAATTAGCTAGCATATGTCTTCTATCACAAGTACTTATATCTTATAAATACACATACGACCACCGATTAGGGGGCACCGACAGTCAAATATCATTTAGGTACTAATTAAAGTCACCGATAGATGGCGTGTCGTGACCTACAGGTGTGCCGTAATATAGATGTAGATACAAGCAGTTGTATAGCACGACAAGGTTTAAATAAAATCATTGGAAAAATTGATATTATCCGAATTCAACAATAATTTTTTTAATGTTTATCTTACAACAGTAAAACTAATATCATCTGCTTTAAACACTTATAGAAGTTTAGAGCGTGACAAAAAATGCGTTTGTTTTTTTGTTCATATTTTGGACATAAATATCTTAATTTGTCTGCTTAATTATTGCAGCAGATTTAAGAACATTTGTAAAAAATCATGTTTAGCACAATTATCATAAATTTTTTTATGTTCTATTTTACATTAAATTTGACAACACAAGGCTAAATATGTTTAGCATTAATATTGGCAAGAATACAATGACTAAAAAATGAAAACATGAAATCTAAACCAAATCTCGCATGTAATAATACAATAGCACATTCAGAATGTGAGTCTATGCATGATTTGTGATAGTCAGATACTTGAGAAAAGACATTAAGAAATTGCGACCGTTTCACAGAAACTCTTGTTTGTTTGGTTTTATCTTAAAGGGCACGTTATATGAATTCCCATGGTAGAGTAAGAGATAAAATTCTAAAATGCATTATGAATCAAGTATTATGTACCAGTAATCAAATATTGAAATCTGCCATTTTATCGGGAACTGTCATTGATAAACTGATATTATTATTGGATGTAATATGATAATGATAATCTTAGTGATAAGCACGACCAATAATAAATAGCACATAGATATGAAAAAAAATTAATAAAATCGGCATTAAAACAAAAATGAGGTAAATGAAACAAACTTACAGTCTTTTATGTTTCGTTTCGTTTTATTTTATTGCCGAGAACAAATTTGAACAAGAGGGAGTGAAACCTACATCTCACGTTGATAACAAAGTGTTTATGGGAGTCGCTATCAAAGACCAGCTGAACATATAAAAGTTTTATGATTTTTCAACACACACAGCATAATAATTATTTAGAATCCATTCTATTTTCTTGCTCCACTCGGTACGTAGAGTATAAAAACTCATAGTTTATATATTATGTAAATAACAAAAGTCTTGATTAAAATTTGATGAGTTTGATTTTTTACCAGGTTCTTCCGTTCATCAAATAGGGTGACGAGGATAGTGTGGATCCATTAACACTCGTAGAAACGTATCCAAGTCCGTTAGTCAGTAAATTGTGAGATAAAGGGTTTTGAGAATTAACACTATTGGCAGAAATTGTTCCGGACATTTCGGACAATGTCGGCGAGCCGAGTGAATTCACGTGAATCAAGTTTTTGGCTGAGGACACAGCACAAGAGGAATGCATGGAAGATGGAGACTGTATAGATGAATTTGCTGAGCCGTGTGAATGACCTGTTGATGAAGTATTTGTGTGACCTTGCTGCTGGTTGCTCGGATTGTCATTTGAATTACTGCAAGGTTTTCCGTCCTTTACCAAAACAGGAACGGCAACCCTTCTAGGCGAAGGATTCGAACTTCCACTTCCAGATGAGCTAGAGCTGTGGTTTTGTGACTGATTCTGTGAACTCTGCCTTTCCGACGATGATTCCGATTTCTGATCCGACTTGTCCTTGTCTTTGGACATGCGTTTGTGCTTGTAACGATGATTCTGAAACCATATTTTGACCTGAGTAGGTGTCAAATTAATCATGCTTGATAAATGTTCTCTTTCAGGTGCGGAGAGATATTTCTGTTGTTTGAAACGTCTCTCGAGTTCATATACTTGTGCCTGAGAAAATAGCACTCGCCTTTTTCGTCTCTGAGTTAAGGGAAACTGCATGCCCGTTTTATAATTACTGTATTGGTCGGCACCCATCATTGATGAGGGCATCGACATAGATGACATGGCACAAGAACTGGCAGCATTCATGGTTAGTCTGGGAACTGAAATGATAAAAAACACAATTAATTTCATAGCACAATGAAAAGGATTTTTTTGCGGAAAATAAACTATAATTTGCTATCGAATAATTGCCAGCGGTGTATGTTATAACCTTGTATTAACCAATCAAATATAATTATATGGATCTAAAAGCACTATAGAATTATTTGTATCATTTATCAAGATACAAATTGAAAAAGAATCTTTATTTGATGTACGTAAGACACAGGGCATACACCTATACTGACTCTTATAATTGTTATATCGGTTAAAACGATATTTAAACGTAATTTAAAACGGTACTTTAAGATCTATATTTTAATGCCTGTTTCTCAATTGGCGAATGTAACAAAAGAAAACCCCCAATAATAATATGTACTGACTTCTACCGAACACAAGATAAAAAGCTAGAATGTATTTGTATATTTTGAGGTGCCATCGTATTTATTTGTATTTTGTCATAGTCTTTTTCTTAATGAAATATTTACAAGTAAATATAGGTACAGATATATTTATTTTAGTCTATGAAAACAAAAAGGGGGTACAATTACTTGGACGATTTCGGAGCTGGATGTAACAATGAACTATATATAAATTCTTAACATTAATATTGAATCTTTTACTTAAGGCAGTCAATTACATTTCTTTTACTCCATTTAATGGAACACGTGCAGTCGTAATTAATCCAATTCGGTTGGTTACCAATGGCTGTATTAAGCTAATCCCATTTGACAACTACAATGGCCAAATGGGGAGAAATTTAGTTGCTCCTGAATTTCTGAATACAGCGGAACATGTTGGGACCCGGGGCGGGTTACATGCTTACGTTTAATCCTTCTAACAAACACGGTATAATGGCTTTAACCGAGCAGAAATCAGGGAAAATCAAACAAGGCAGTTTTTCTCTAGTGACTGAGCAAGCCTAAATAAGAAGGTGTCAATAATTACCTGTAATACGGAGTTAGACTTAATCTTTTCAACACAGGTGTGCAACAAGTATACCAACAATTGATCAAATTTACCTTAACTACATTGACGGGGTTAATTTAATCAAACTTATACGTAGAATTCCTTTAAATAATTAATTAAAATGAATAGGTCCTTTTGTTTTGTTTCAAAACCAATTATATTTTGTTCATATTGTTGACGATTACTTAAAGAAATTGCAAAATTTAGTTAAGTAGAACAAAGTATGTTTAGAATTGATTTGAATTAAAATTTAAATGAACCAGTTAGCTTTGACGAAAGTGAGCAACTACCGTTTTAATATAACAACTCTATAAAAGAAACCAAGTACATGTACAGTTGAAGTAAAATTAGTAAATTGTTCATGAATTTTAGAAATAAAACGTGGTATCCAATGTGATCAATAAATGATAATAAAGGCATTTGGATCTCCAAAGTCCAATTCTTTAAAAAGAGGGGTTATATAAATGTAAGTTAAGCATTTTCATTTTTAAAAATTTGTAATGCTACTTAGATTAAGAAAAAAATATAATCGATTATTATTCAATATTTAATATTGTATGTATCATCTTACACTGATTCTATCGATTAAAAAGCCCGCAATGGTATCTAATTTTAAAATCGATTATCGAGTTTGAAGTGTATATTTTATATATATGGAATGATATGTTTTTCTAAGTGATTAATTACATTATATAAGTGGCTTTAAGTGAAATCGATATATAATTTCTACGGCGTTACTCCTCTGGGTGATTTTTTTTTGTTTGAAACAATACCGAGAAGGAATTTCTACGCTTGAGTACTTTTTCGCACTGGTGATATTGGACATTATTATCTTAAATAAATTATTGTCTTAACATATCTAATTGTTTTCAACCGGTTAATTTAATTTTATGGATGTTCGATAATTTTTAATAAATATTTAATAATCGTGCTTATATTTTAATAGACACTTAACGATCTAGCTCCATAGGCATTTTGTTATTATTTTCAATATTGTTGTTTAATAACCCGCGATGGGTTTTGCGAGTAGTTTTTAGCGGATGAATGACAAGAAATCGATTAATCTTGTAAGAAGACAAAGGCTATTAAAAGAGTTATGTTGGGGAAAAATGGTTAAGGTATATCACATAAGACAAACAAAAGGGTTAAAGATACTAAAGGGAACAAGAAGAATAGGGAACACCAGGGGTGTAGCTGGTTGCCGGCATTAACCAAGTATTGTTTTACATGTACAATATATTGTCTCTTCGCATTTTATATTTATTATTGCTTGGTAAAGACTAGGGAAGCCTAATCCAAACCTAGCTCAGTAATAAGCAGTAATTATATTCCATATTATTGTGACCTGTGTAAAGAACAAAGGGATTAACGACACTAAAGAGAATGGGAACAATACGGAACAAACTGTTTTTAAAAAAATATCGAAAGAATAAAATTGGATAAAATATTTTTGAACGATTTTCAAAGCGTTAGCCTATACTGAAAAGCGGTTAATATATGCTTGAACAAACTATCATTCCACGAGAGAAATAAGAGATAAAAAATCCCGAAGCATGTTTCTAGATTTCTAAAAGTGTCACATAGTTTTTGAAAATAAGCCCCTGTATTTCTATTCTTAATCGTTTTGATAATAAACTCTTATTCTGTATTGAATTGAATATACAATAACTATAAGCTTGACATGAAGGGAATTACTTCGACAAATTCGCGCATCCCCGAACTGTATGAAGACACACAAAACGAGCGACGAGGCATGAAAATGATATTTACATTTTTCACTCAAGCCGATAATATGTTTGCCAATAACTATTAACGCCTATCTATCGCTAGCAGAAGCGTTTTGTAATATGATGGCCCCACATAGACAAGCGATGAACCTTAAATGTGAAATGAGTCCATACACCTGTAAAGAACGACAAGATTAAAACGTTTAAATAGGGAACCAGTAAATTCAGAGTCCGTGTATAGAATCTAGTGATTAGTGTAGCTGTCCATAAACATGTAGAAAGATTAGAAATGTTAAGCTACAGAAAATTGCTATAGCTCTAATATAATTATTACAGCTACGTCAGAATTATTACATAAATATCACAGCTATATATTAGAATTATCACAGCTATATATTAGAATTACCACAGCTATATATTAGAATTATCACAGCTATATATTAAAATTATAACAGATATATATTAGAATAATCACAGCTATTTATTAGAATTATCTCAGCTATATATTAAAATTACCACAGCTATATATTAAAATTACCACAGCTATATATTAGAATAATCACAGCTATATATTAAAATTATCTCAACTATGTAAGCATTATAAATTATAATAAGAACTGGTACAGATCTGGACGAATTATCAACACAATATAGACATATCATTTATTAGGGTTATATTAAAATTATTACAATTTAAACAGAATTAGGTTATATATTATGCTATATTATAATTATATTAACATTATCGAATATATATTAGAATAATTATTAGATTACTATAGCTGTGATACAAATATTAAAAATAGTCTAGCTGTATTAGAATTCTCTCCGTTTCATTTATTATGGAAAATTATATTGTTATGTTTAAAATCTAGATGTATAAATATTTGTGTTTTTAAAATTTGTTTTTCTTTTTCTTTTAAAAAATAAATCTAATTTTAAGAACACAATTATCTAAGGTTAATTTTCAAATGCTTTAAATGCCATAAAATAGGTTGCAATAACAATGTTGAGGCGTCCAGTAAGCAATGCAGACAAGACAGCGTTCTTTTCGTACTTTATATATCAGGAAATCTGGATGCTCGTCAAAATATTTTCTTTTTAAGATCAGAAAAATATGAAATAATTGTGACGAAGCAAAGGAAATATTAGCACAATCTTGATCAAAATTCTAAATGATGGAACCAAGAAGCATTCATTAAAGTTTATTGGATGGAACTTAATGTCTAAAACTAATTTTCAAGTGAATAAAGGTATCCATTTTGTATCACATTATATGTTATACATGTATATGCAATTTTGCGTCAAAAATATGTTTGAATGTTCATAAATAGGCTTAGGTGTGTATATTTAAACAAACTATTTTCCTAAAGAACATTTAGACCTACGCCAACCATATACCTATATATAACTTATATATACACCAGTCATACATATCTATATATAACTTGCTAGAGGATAGTGTTAAAGATTATTATTTATAATATTGACATTAGGGCATTTGTTGCCATACTAAATTTCTTACTCGGCAAAATACATCATTAATGAATGACATCTTGAAACAAGCTATTTGACCGTATATAGATTCTTATTTTTAATAATGAAAATTCATTGGGGACGTAGGATTACCATTCATTTGTGAAATAAATATATTCGTATCCTCATATATGCCAAGAAAGGGTTTTTAATTTTAAAATTGAATCCCTTTAATGTTTAGTCAAAAAATACCCAAGGAATTACGAGAATATTTTAATTTCGAGAACGTATCAATATTTTGCTACGTTCTTGTTATGTTCGTGATTGTCATCCTTTAGAAAATTGAAAATAAAATGAACAGTGGTTTTACTTATATACCTATGTATACACACATGTACGACATACAATGGTGGAAGATAAAGATACAAAAATATACCTATCTTTTATTAAAGAAAAAATGGGTTTTTTTCATCGCGTGCGTTCACGGGGATCGTCTAATATACTAATATACAAGCTGACTTAGACTGGATGAAAACAGTGGGCGAGAGAATGAACAATACCCGTTAAATTTAATGTTTATATGCCAAGACAAGCCCGAAGAAATTCTCTTTTAAATATCTATAGTCAACTCGTTTTATACGTATTTTACTTTTCTTTCTAGAAATTGTCGTGGTCGCGTGGAGAGCAAATATTGTATGTAAATAAAGATCGAGGCGGATTCTTTGTATAATATACAGTGCTATATCTAATTAGTATAAAGATCTTCAGCAACCTTCCGTACTCCTTGCCTAGTCCGTAATAACCTTTACAAATATTTCTACAAAACAGGGACGTAGTTAATAAACTCGGCACCCGGATTTAAAATTCTTTTCATTATCAAATAAGAACTTTTAACCAATTTTAACCAAAATGTCTTATAAAATCTCAGACGAGAATTCATTATTTAACAAAAACAAACTCAACTTTTCATAACGCACCTGTGCCTATTTCGTTCCATAAATTAAATCTATTTGGTAATAGAATTGGATAATAATATCACCATTTAATGTAAAGGCCGATATTCTATAAGTGGACTATCGTTTTATCATGATTAAGCCCTTGATTGTCTTCGCGTGGCGTCTAATCGTACAGTAATGCATTGTTATTCCTTCTTGTCTAAAGAATATTGATATTAATAGACTCCCTTTGTATTTACGCGTCAAAACAATAGCTTTATCATTGGTCTTATAACACCCCAATATTTATTCCCCGACATATCTAAGATAGCCGCAAATTAAGATCAAATTAATTAGTTGTTACTCCAATTTAAAAGAGGTTAAAAACTTGCGGCTAAGACGGTCTGATCTGGCTTTAAAAACAGGTTAGTCGATAAAGTTAAATACGTTTTAACAGCATTCACGGCGATATCGACAACATGAAACAATAAAGGGCTTATAGAAATTGTCTGAGAAATATGGCCGATAACGACAGGTGATACTGACAATGATGGTGACGACGGTGACACTTATTGAAGATGAAATATCAATTACCAGGCTTTAAAAGTATGAATAGAATATAATTTTATATACTTACATGTCAATCTGGGATCGTTGCTGGTTCCATACCAACTCGACGCCGAATGGCGGGTAGGATCCCCGTAGCCCAGATCCGAACCATTACAGTAAGCGGATGGGTAACTCGGGGTGTGGTGCGATAGCGGAGGTACTCCATAATTATGGTAAGGATTGGTGACCGGTAAATTCATAGCTCCAGTTCCGTTCATACTCTGTGGATGCTGTGACGATCGGTACGGATTAAGAGGGGGAATAGCAGCCTCTATCGTCGTTCTTTTGTAAGTATCGTGGTCCAAAGGACTGAGTATGTCCGTGACGGAGAAAGGTGTAGTATGCTTTGGACTCAGGGACATAGCTCGAAGCAATGCCTCCTGCAAATCCTTGTCTTCCCTTCTCGAGTAAAATCCTCTCCACCTATTTAATATCTCCTTGTGGCTCTAAGATACACTTGGAAGGTTGGAGTGGCAATGTAACGTCATACTCTTATACACGTTTGTATACTGTCCAATTCTCACAAAATTTACGTTTATCATTATCATTGCGCAGGCGCATATTTCATCAATATTGTCCTAAGCATGGTAACCACGCCCCCTGATATATCTGAGTGGACAATCTGGTTACAGACAATATGATTGACGGCACAAAGCCTGATTAAGCCCGTCATAATTGATGGGGCGTGTCGCTACTAAACTATCCGTTCTCATATCAGCGATACGTTGATGAAAAGCCGCGAGTATTTACCCGCAGTTTATCGTAGCCTTTGATGAATCATTTTTTAACACGGTTTTGAATGAATAGGAGATTTAACGTGACATTTGGCCCTCCTGCTTCGCATAACCATACAGTGGGGGCGGAGTCAATGTTTCGGCTGCTCTACGGTGTACTTCGGGGGGAAATGTATGGGTGCTTACAAGTATCCAAGAGCTTATCAAATATCTTTAACATCCTATCAATGTTCTCGTGAAAAATGATTATTTAATGAACTTGTTCTAGTCAATTATTCTGAAGCGTTTTAATTGACTGTAATACTCTACTAAACAAATCGTTGACTTTTCTCAATGTCTGCTTTAATTACTTCAATATACATTAATAATACTCAAAGTTTAACTCGATGACCATCAACAAGAAATCTAGAACATCACGAAAACCATCAAAACATTGTTTTCATTATTTACCAAGAGCTCCTTTCGGATGAAAACAAATCTTACATTTAAAAAAAAGAGACATCAGTGATCAAAATACAATCAAGTCAGTTAATATAAATTTAATAATAAATCAAGTTAAGGTCCCCATAAACATCAGTTTTGAAGATTTTGAAGCACAATGGTTTAAAAAAAATCTTTTGTGCAGTCATGTCAGTGTTGAAATTGTTAAACCTTTATCCTAATTTTGTTCATTAATTTAAGGCAATTTATGAAAAAATTAACATGCACATTTAGTTATTGTTTCGCATTTAATTGCGCCTATTGCCAACTATACATGTATGGGTATGTTTTTTTATTATCTTTTATCAAAGAGAAGTGGGCAATTTTGAGTAATTCTGAAAAAAAACCCTATGATCTCGGGGTCCGTCTATTTGATAATATTGTAATGTTTGTAAGTTTGGGAATTAAAATATCGTTTCTTAAAATATTGACCCAAAAGATTTCCTTTCAATGTAACTGCGTACATTTTTTTGTATAATATATTATTATGAAATGATTTCTCAAATATGTATTCAATTCAGACTTTCAAATCTCAATGTTACCCTTTAGAGCATTAGTTGATATTAAACTATGCGGTACGAAATTATAATTATTTACAGTCATAATTATCTTAAATTCAAAACCTGAAAATAACCTGTTATATTCATTAGCATAAATTAAAGCCACAACATGTCGGAGTAAAGATTAAACAAATTGCTTAGCACCATATATTATATTAAAACTAATTTTAAAATAAACCCAAACAGATCTATAGTCCAAATATTATTCATACGGATCGGTTATATCTGCACGTGCAAACCAGACTATTCTTCATGCTTAATTACATGGTAACAATCGTCTCCACATTAAAATAAGATATATTCTTGCCTTTTAGATATATTTATGCGAACTATCTGACTTGTTGTGCCTTTAAGAAATTCATATAGATATACAATGTACACGTAGTTCTAATTTATCTTACAATGTGTATAATATTTGAATTACATTATCAACTTACCTATGTCAAATTAACTTATTAAAAGAATAGCGTAAACAAAGAATAGATACAAAATAAATAAATAGACTACATTAAAGTGGCATTAGATAATAGATATAGAACTGACAGTTCTCGTTAAAATAGTTAAAACATAGATATTGAAAACAGTAAATGCTGAAAATTTCAGCAGAATTGTTTCACTCTGAACCAAAATATTAACGATTCGGCTAGTCTCGATCATCATTACTAACGTTGGTTCTATAATGAACAAAGTCTCGATTGTCCATTTTTACGTTAAATTATCCATCACAAAATGTATTCAAGTACACGAAAGATCACAGGCTAACGATGACATTGAGAGTTGATTATGGCCTGGATAAGTTAATTAATGTCTAATTAATAATTTGGATAACATTTCAGGCCTAAAGAAAGACCTGCAATAGGCAGATTTAGCTCTTGCATAATGCATGTTTAAATATTTATCACCAATACAGCCTTGAAAAATATCTTGGGTTGGAGGTCACCCACAGCAGTGTCCCAATTCTCTGATATATACTATATAACTATTATATAGTACGTATGAAAGTACTGTTTAAAACACATTTAACCAGTTTGATATCATTTTATTGTCCTACTGTCCGCAAACAGAGTCTAACTTTGAACTTTACACTGTTATAGTGGCTTAAAAGTGCACATTCATTATTGTCCAATGCATAGCTGGGTTACATAGATGAAAATTCGCATTACCAAAACATTATGGCGTAACATTATGCACGGTGGAGATGTTTTGGGCGGCAAATTTATATATAAAACAAACTTGGTCGTGGTCATTTTTCAGAGTATTAGACGAATACATTTTGACAATTGGAAAAACGAAGTTACCGGTTCTTAATTTTACCATATCATAAATCATAAAAAAAACGTCTGGAATAACATTTCAAATATTAGTATGTTTTTTTAGGTGGGGCTTTTTTATTTGTTTTATTTTTCAATTTAGTTAACACCCCCACCCTTTAAAGGAATAACTGTATCGTTATTGTTATCAACCATCAATTTATATCCATAACTTAAAGCATATACTTATCTATTGCCTACATGTCATTCAGAAATTATATTAATGAAGGTCAGTGTAACCACTTGATGCCCTATTTTAATTGTCATTCATAACATGCATGTTTATCAAACTTACCCTAGCTGAGGAAGATAACATCCTTTTCAATATTTGACATTGATCCCATTTTAACTTAAAGTAGCTGTCTCTAACTCAATATCATCCAAAATCTTCAACATTGACAACACGAATTATTTGTCAATTTAAATCAACATTGATGTTGTTGTCTTACGGGGAAGAGATGGGCTTCTGATATCCAATATTTAAGACAAAATAAACATTTTACCATTGGTACACGAATCGTGTACCATAATGCGTTCCAGCGTCATTTATAATAAGGGACTTGAAAAATGAGGCTGGGCATATTCCACATGTCAAGTCAAACGGTGACGCCATATTCTTATCTGGAGAGCATGTGCACTAAATACTATCGGTGTAGACTGGAATAACCAGGCACTAGAGATTCCCATTCAATTGAGACTTCTGGCATATTTCGCCGAACATAAATGATTAGAAATTACAGTGAAAACAGACAAGATTGAATGTAAATCCGTTTATATACATTCATATTACATTATCATATGCGATGCGACCCATTTGTGTCAATTTCTAGGTTCCAAATATTAGCGATTTAGCCCCTTTAAATATGCCCTTTTCTATTTGGAAATTTTATATTTTATTTATGTAAAACCTATATAATTACCGCCCTGGACTGCACAGCGCAGTGGTCACTTACAGCTGGCCCCCGGATCCAAGGACTTATTTTGATATATTATGTGTTTGTTGTGTATTGCTTGAAATGTCTGTGTGTATTGTGCCCCGTAAGTGGATTTCTCTTGTGTAATTGTTTGTGTGTGGTGCGGTCCTCCCACACTTAATAATAACGTAAAACCTGTATTAAGACAAGTAGATTTAATTGTAATGTTTCTAAAGGTACACCACGTTCGCTGTATTCTTTTCTGGAGGTTTTCTTCAATATTTCAAACGGCGCAAGAACAACAGAAGGAGCTAAGCAAAATCATACACAGTAACTTGTTACTAGTAAAATGTTTCGGGTAATTTAAACAGAATGATGTTTTAAAAGACCTTCAGCCATTCCCAGAAGAGTTATAGAAGGTTTATTCTGAATTTTCAAAGAACTGCCGCATTACCTTGGTATCTAGATAATTGTGTTGGGCTGTGGTGAGGGATAAACGATGATTTAGTGCGAACAATACGATATAAATGTGTCCCAGCGTGAAACTAACAATAGAACGAAGTATATAAAATAGTAAACTAGTAACAGGTAGAACTATATTATCTATTGTCTTGTCGTTTGTTACACCTTCAATATAGACAAAAACCCCGATGATTATGTTTGACAAGTGAGGTGATACATTTCACCCCTAACGTTCGTCCACAAACCCTACTGCTGTAGCTCTAAATCGGACCAACACGTGTTCAGAAGGAAGGGATGTCTTGCTGGGAGGCTCTATTATTACACTGATCAATCCTATTCAGCGGATTTTCTATGGCCCAGCAGGTCTAATCGCCAGCTCCACACTAAATTGCAACCTCATAGAAAACATCGGCAAGAAAAAACAACAAACCGTTTTAGCGCTGAATTTGGGCTCAACGGGTCGTGAAACGAACCAGCGGAGCGCAAGCGAACATTTTCTGGTGGCTTCGGCAAGAAATCATTATTATCCAAGTTTCATGTTTAATTCAATATTTACATTATATTTGTGTCCGGGTGTGATAATTATTAAATTATGGGATGACGAGGACGATCTCTGTCTACATTCTCCCCGGAAGCAAACTACACGACCACGGGTCATATGGCATCTGGGCGTTTAGTTTGAACTCCCCGTGGCTTCTACTAAATGTTTTGATATATTTCTTGTAAAGAAAGATCACTATTTTGTTAATCATAAGCACGTATTAAATTAGGCATAACGTATTACGCTATCCCAGAGACTTTCATAATTTGGATATTTTTAACCATTTGGACGCACCAAAACAAGTTCTTTCGTCTGTTTATTGGATAGCTGTATCTTTATCCCTCTCGTAAGTGTAGTGATATATTCCCAGTTAGATAACTTGGGGTTCCGAATGCTTGGAGTGATTGGTATTACGTGTAACTAGACTTAAAGTTTTAGACTTGAGAGGCGGTTTAACGCTTTAAAGGGTAAGTCACGAATTTC